ATGTACAAAAATAAAAGAGAAATTTTACTCAGTTCCTGTGCACTTACATTCAGTGTTTTCTAGATCCAACCCAATTGTTTTGGCCTTCGTTTATAGTCAAAAGTGTACAATCAAGATTTCTAACGAAAGTGAAAAAGGTGTTGTCGTTTCCATTTACGCAGATGCTCCCTGATAGCCAGTACATTTTCGCCTGTGTTGAGAACTCCTGGTGTCCACCTACGGACTCGAGTTTTGGACTATGATGGCTCAATGTATTGACACCCCTCATGTCTTGTTTGAATGTGGTCGAATGCCGCATAGCCCGGTATCAGGTATACGATTCCAATCACACTTTGTTATGATATGGATTTGATGAGAAGTTAGAATAGAATATGTATGTTTCCCATAAGGAAAAGTACTTACAGTAATGGCCTTGTACAGAAACGGAATACTTTAGGTACCAGACATCCGGTTTCTTTGCGAAAATACCAAACTGCGCAATAACAGTTTCATAAAGTGTCACTTTGCGTGGGGCCTATAGTCACACTCACTCGGGTTTGTGGTGCTGTTATCTATAATGATGATTTTTTCTGACTTCTCTGCAGTCGTTGACCTCCACTCCAGACACATCTTCGTGTATGAGCAACTCTAGACTCTGACGTAATGCTAAGTCCTGGCGTATGGTACAGATATGTCAGGAGAAATCTAAGGAATTCCCGGATATTCACGCCCGAGTACCTGTTACCTAAGTATTCTTGTAGATTGTGACGCAATAGTAACTGTTGTCGGGAAACGCAATCAGTGACACCTGCTTGGAAATATTTACTGCGGTGTGGCAGCCATGGTCGACAGCTGTCGTCTATCACTTGCTATAGTAACAACGTCATTACTGACACATGTCACTTGTCAGATATAATATTCCATGGTAATCACTCCAGGAACAGGTACTATGATTCATGTTTTAACGTTAGCTCCATGTACATCGGCGACCTAGTATCGTTCAATAGCCATCAATTCCATTCCACTGATTTACCCATCTGAACTTGAAATGTTCTAACCTTTGGGGTCTGACTAACAGAATCGGGTGGTCAGACTCGCTGACCTGGTTGACTCATGTCATCGTATCCAAATTGCGCAGATCGGTGCTCATGATGTTGATCACTGGATTGTGTGGTCCGCCGCCATATTGCTTGACTATTGCTGAGTGCGGCGTAAACCTTAACGCATTCACTCACTACATGTGATAACCTTTGAGGTACAATCGAGCATCTTCTTTATAGTATTACCAAGATTTCAAAGACTTTGCCTCTTGTTCAGAAGTTACAACAAGTCAACAATTGAAACTTTCAAGGTCTCAGGAAAGCGTTTAAAAAGTTACTTGGTACACTTGTGGATGAAATTTGACGATTTGTGATATTTCTCTCCACTTCTATCATACGCCCCATACAATAGACTCAGGTGAACACTGGACCAGGCAAGAAACATTCACCTTTTTGTGAACACCTGGTACCATCACTATATTTATCCGTAAACACATGCGCATGATAACGTCGGAACTTTGTCGATCGATGCGCATGCTGTTGATCACTGATTTATCTGGTCCAGATTCGATTATTTACAGACCGACGCCATATAGCTGGTATATTGCTGAGTGCTCCGTTAAACAACAAACCATACAACTGTCGATCCTGCTTTTAGTTTTAAGACATAAAATTGTTTCATTGACATATGCGATGTATTAACTGTGTGTGATTGACAGCCTTCGTGTATTACAGTCGCAACTTACCACCAATATAAGGTCTGTACAATTGTCACCGTTAATTGTGAATTTACTGTGTGACGACTTGCCGTTGTAGACACCTGCAACCCAGTGCATTTCAACGAAGTAAACAGTTCCTTCTTGAAGCCCCTGCAGCAGGTTATCTGCAACACGACATGTGTATATGTGTCTTGCATTGAGGACATTTGATAATTGAAATATAAGACGTCAACGCCGGGAATCGGGGTATTGATTGTCGTGGAAACAGAATCCATAGGGAGTAAAAGGCGAAATAGTTGTGAAAGTTGTATGAATTGATGACTTGGAATCTGTGATGAGACTGACTGTTCGCGACAAGAGTATGTCTGTCCTGTCCCATCGGTAGTATCAACCTCCCACTTTATTTGCATAATGATGTAAGTGTTTGTTGCGTTTCACTAGCAGAGCTATTCTGTCATCCTGCCTCTGCTTGTAGACCATCAAGTGATGGACCAACATCCTCATGACGGAACTCTATTGAACCTCTGCTGGTTTTGATTTACACCTGTTACAACTGCAGACATTCTGCGTATAAATGAAGAAAACTGTATGTGCCAGTGGTTGGTAAAATTTATATCTCCGTCCAAATAGGAAGTTACAATATGTTTTAGCGGAGACATTAAACAAGTAATTTCATGCTTGTAAATGGAATCATTTTATTGTTAATTCGTTTCTTAATGTGGCAAAAACTTTCCTTAAATTCTATATATACACCAATCCATTGATGAATGCAAGTATTGTAACATATGTTACCTTAGGTTTAAATATAATTACATTTCAAGTGACAGTTTCACAATGGACTAAAATGGAATGATATATAATTTTACAAAAGAATCATCTTCAAAGATATTAATGAGTAGAACCTTGTGGAATGCTGTTTGAGATATGTTCTCGTGTAGGAAGTAAGTTCCTTGCTACGATGTTCAGTAGATCTGTGTCCAGTAGTTATCATCTAGACTTGCACACGTCTCTAAGGTAATGATAATTAATAGTTTAAAAAAAATCCTGTTAAAAATATAAATATCCCTCTAACAGACTGGTCTCCTTATACTGTCCACTGATATAGACTTGCCTCTTAAAGGATAGAATTACTAGTATACATCCATGGGCTTAGCATTCAGTACAGTCTTGGAGCAAGGCTAGTAATCATTCTGCAGTGCATGATGTTAAATGTAGCTACATGTGCGCCATATGTTAGGCTTTTGAATCTTAATTCAATTCGCTTCAAGCACCTTGAAGATTCTGTAAAGTACCCAGTACAGCATATGTTTGAATTAATACTGAGACCTATGTGCTCTCTTACTGTTCATATGGCAGTTACTCGTGCAGACAAAGTCTCAACAAGCATGTTAAGGTTGCAGAAATTCACTGCATAAAAGATGATCAGAAAGGTACATGGTGACATATTCCGTAACGTGGTGAGCTGGGGTAATGAACATAACGATGACATCTACCATAGTCTAGATATCATTGTAACGATGTCGTGACAGTTTGGTCACAAATAATGGGATGATAATTACAACGCTTTTTGTTAAGAAAATCCATTGTTTTGTTAAAGAGTATTCATTTATAAAAACATGTTCTCTCTTATGGAAGGCATCGAATATACAGATATATGGTTAGCTTTTGAAAGTCGTATACCCTGTTGCCCTTTTCAGTATGTTATTAGATACTAGCATGGTATATTTTGGCCACTTAACCCATGATCGTGGTGAAGTGCCATCATTGAAAGCTGCCATGTTATACTTACTGTGACCACGAGAAAGCACTGGAGATCATCTGCCATCTTACTTTTACCTAGTACATGGGAGGCCTTGATGGAAGCCTGCCAAGGTTGTACACTGTTAACATGATGCGTGATAATGAGCACCTGTTCTATTTACATGAAGTGAGATGATGGACATGTGTCATCTAATATATGTTGATAACATGAAGTGAGATGATGGACATGTGTCATCTAATATCTGCTGTTTACATGAAGTGAGATGATGGACATGTGTCATCTAATATATGCTGTTTACATGATGTGAGATGATGGACATGTGTCATCTAATATATGCTGTTTACATGAAGTGAGATGATGGACATGTGTCATCTAATATGTGCTGTTAACATGCATGGTGGTGATGGACACCTGTCTTCTCATATGTCCTGTTTAGATGAACGCGATGGAGAACACACCTTTTCTGATATTTACTGATAATATGAAGTGTGATGATGGACAACTGTCATCTAATATATACTGTTTACATGGAATGTGAATGCACCAAGTCAGAATTGTGACATGATCAATTACATCGTTTTGAAAATTCAAGCACATTGGAATATGGAAATGATAATATGCTTTGTACCTATTCAAGCATATTGGCATATGGAAATAACGAATACACAATGTCTTTTAGAAAGTGGTCAAATGCAACAACATATGTTATATTATACGCATTATACCTATTCAAGCACATTGGCATATAAAATAATGAATACTTTATACCTATATATTCAAGCACATTGGCATATGGAAATAATGATATACTTTATACCTATTCAGGGTCGGTGGGGTAGCCTAGTGGTTAAAGCGTTCGCTCGTCACGCGAAACACCCGGGTTCGATTCCCCACATGGGTACAATGTGAGAAGCCCATTTCTGGTGTCCCCCGACGTGATATTGCTGGAATATTATAAAACCATACTCATTCACTCATTATACATATTCAAGCACATTGGCATATGGAAATAATGATATACTTTATACCTATTCAAGCACATTGACATATGTAAGTAATTATATACTTATACTTATACCTATTCAAGAAGATTGACATATGGAAATATTAATATCATTTATACCTATTCAAGCACATTGACATATGGAAATAATAAAATGCTTTAAACCTATTGAAGCACACTGACATATGGAAATAATATGCTTTATACCTATTCAAACACATTGGCATATGGAAATAATGATATACTTATACCTATTGAAGAAGATTGACATATGGAAATAATAATATGCTTTATACCTATTCTCAAACGTATTTGAAACCATTATCAACTGTCATCGATGCCTTTATGCTGATATAACCTTTCCCCGGCCACTTGGCTTTAATGATCGCCGCGATAAGACAGCATTGGTCTTGTTTAAAGGTTGCCTATCAGTTTGGATGGTAAGAATATTGATGGTTAAACTGACATTAAAATACTCCTGTATATTTTTCTTGCAGATATATGTGAAAACGTGTTTTGGTGGACATGTTGCTGGGATTGCTGCTGCCAGTGCTTGCGGGACTCAGCGTTGTTCAAGGTACAGAGAGACTATATACTCTAAGCATTATCAAACATGAGAACACTAATCTCTCAATCATTATTTTACATCGGTCACATACCATTCGCATTGCGACACTGATGCATATAACGATGTATGCGTCATATAAAGGGTAAGTGTCTTCATCTTTCGAAATTGTCTGAGGAGGCTTAATAAGGACAAAGCAGTCAAAGCGAGGCCTAATGATCCAGTATGTGACATTTTCTGTCAGCAATTGACCTGTTGTCGGTAGTGAACTTCCCACCATCAGCTGAATCGATTGTCATATTGTTTGGTCCTTCATCACAAATCTTAGGGGATTTCCAACGACCATCCTTTTTATAAACACTGGCGATTGTAATTATATGTCGTTAATGCCATGTATTAGAACCTTATATATCAGTGTAACAAAATGTTTTTCAGAGAAGAACTAAGGTTCAATTTGTTGCGGTAAAATAGGAAATATAAGCTTTGTGTGGGGACCATCTCCATTTATTCTGCCCTAAGTTCTGCGCCCTTTAAATACTGTTTCATATAAACCAATTTGGCAAAGACGTGTTAAGATAACTGGGCACTTCTATACCAATATTGAACAGTTAGTCACGACCCAATTTTAGCCAGACAGTGTCAAAATAAGCGAAGATATGATCTTTGCCAGTCTTTTTCTGAATATCTAGCGTATGTAGTCATACTTTACTTGACTCGTGCGTTGTTGAGCGACTATCCTTAATACGAAGCCCTTGAAATATGGACTTAACTCTCCCATTTTTGTGTTTTTACCAACCAAACTCCTGACAAACATGGATCTTGTCATTGCCTAATACATTATTGCATGAAGGAGCTGTTTTTATTGAGTGATCAATAGTGGTAAATTAAGAGAACCGGCATGTAAAAGTGATTCGTGTATGAAAAGCACATTCTGACTGTATGGACTCGATATAAAAGAAAATATGCCATTTGATTGTAACATATTAACGTCACAAGATGGAAAGGGTTGTTGCAGCGGTGTTATGGATAATAAATAAGTGCTAACTATGTGTTCACATGCACCGTATACCTTTGTACTGGATTCTAAAATGCCAGATCCATGAAATCAACACCGGGATATATTTTGGGTCCAAGAAATGTTCCTCCGAATTACCCATAATCCTTAATACAATTAGTGAAGGACTTTCTCTGTATTCACAGAAAGTAGATAGGCAAGTAAATAAAATGCCACTTGTATTTTCACACTCTTGCTGTATAATCTCAGACAAGATCCAAATTCAATTAACAAGGTAAAACATTCCTAGATTCAGGAGGCATTTGTTACAAAACGTGGTTACCATAGATACAGTTACTTGGCGACCTTTAGAGGTTCGGGACATGCTGTAAAAAATATAACAAATGTCATCTACAGTTAACTGAGAAAACAATATGTGAAATGATCATAGAAAACATGTAAATAACAAACATAGGGTTTGTAATTGTAGACATGAAATAGGCATTTCCATGTGCAACAACTGTGTTCCCCTTCTTGCTGATCTGTTTTATTATGTATATGTATCGGAATATCTGCTTGGATTCTCAAAACAAGGTACTTTGGCCTAGAAGTTTAACATAAACGATGATCTGATAGCGTTCAGTAACCAATAAACAGTACGTTCCACTGAGTTACTCGGGTAAACCTTATATTTATATCTATGCAATGCGATACAGACTGACAAAACACTATCCACGACACTGACAAGAGGGATGACTTCAATATTCCCTAATGTCGAGCAATAATCCTGCCGCTCCAGCCTTTTGTATTCGCATTTCAAAACATTACAATCCTGCATGCTCTTTTCAACAAGAAATACATGAAGATCCAGGACATAATTCAGCCTTAAGCAACCAATGCTTGTCGTAAGAGGCGACTAACGGGATCGTGCAGTCAGTCTCGTTGACATGGATGATGCACGTTTTGGCATTCCAGTTGTGCAGGTATTTACTCATGAAGGCATTCACTGAATTGTCTGGTCCAGATTAGATTAGTTTAGTTTCGGACTACTTTTGACAGGGGTTTGTTATAGAAATGGAAAGGTTTTGTAGCTTCTATTATCATGTATATCAAAATTTTATAATTTTCGTGGGAATAGCCCAATCCTACAGTTCATATGTTTAGGAGTGGTGGTTTTCTGGCCAGGAACAGATTGTTACATGTTCAGTCAATTGATCACCGGCTTAACTTCAAATGGCATGAAATTCTGTGACTTTAAATTCTTAAAACAATGGTTTGATACTGATCGGTTAGGAGTCAGTTGATTAATTTGTATCACTTGATTTCTTATGGTCAGCCGAACGCGATAGTAAAATATACCATTATGCAAAGGATATGGAAACCTGTTGCTTCCTTATTTTTTCATAAACAAGTTGATATACCCTGACTCAGATCTAGACCTTTGTCATTACTGGGAATACGATGCTTCAATGTGTTTTTCTTCACATTGCGTTTTTTTCTTTCAACATGGCAGTCAAATGATGAAAAATGTTCTAAGTGATTCCATGGCATTAGACTGACAAGCCAATCAATTTAAACCCAGAACAAATAAACCACTCCCATTAGTGAACTTCTTTGACATTTCTAATCTCTGTTGTATTATTGCGTTGAACGATGTTACTAATTTCGTATGGTTCTCGATAGTTTATTTTGTGGTAATGGGTAAATAACCACCATGTGAATGTATTTATACTGGTTTACATATGTATAAGAACTAAATGACGAAGAGAAACCGTTTTTAAGTTTATACCTATATAAACTCAAATAGATACTGAATTTTTTAATATGCTCATGAAAGCATAATGAAATATTTATATGTTAATTTTTCCATGTACTGGAAGCTGAATGGTAATATGTATTTCAGCCGGAGAGTTGTATGGATAAATAACGTGAAAACCCCACAGCGGACGTACGGCCAATGTCAATAGGAATGTTTTAGTTGTGGGTTCTGAAGTTTACAACAGGGACAGAAATAGGATTCTGCAAAACGCGATATTGGTCGAAATTTGGTTATGAATTAACTTTCTTGTCAAAAGCACTTTGAAAGTTTGCTATTATCTCACTGTCCAAACATTGCTAGAAATAATTTGGTGATATTCATTGGGCAAACATCAGGGTCACTGAACACAAACGGCAGTTATTCAATAATAGTTATTAGTGTTTCAATAGGAATCATGTTTTATCAAATGTGTGATGTATGGAGGTTTTCTCCTGACAATGAATTTATGCCGTAATATCAGTTGTGTCTTGTAAACACCGTAAAATATGACTTTGGATCGTCGTGGATATTTGGGGAAAGAAAATATGTCCCATTTTCTAATCGTGTTAGACGACTACATTTGATTTGTCTATACCACTATGGTGTGACACGTTTTTCGTGCTTTGGTCTTTTGTTTGTCTGGTCCAGAAAGTACTATATACAGGCCAGTACGATGCAGCTTACATATTGCTGACTGTGGCGTAAAACAATATTGACTCTCTAACTCTTCCCGGCTTATAATGTACTGATGCTTAATGCCTTCGCTGAAGTCCAGCGTCCAATTGTCTTATATCTACAAACGCCAGTGAATACCCATCTTCTCATTAGACGTACTAGAATTCATTGGTCGCAAAGGCAAAACAGATGTGAAAATAAAATGAATGGACTAATGATGGGACACCCGGTGTTTCCAAAACAATTACTCATGACCAATCCTAAAAGGTCGCATACAAGTTGTGTTGTTCGTTACGTCACACAGCAGCACTGTATCGATGCGACGGCGGAATATACAGCTTGACAATCAAATGTCAGGCATTACTGATTTCGAAGACACCTTAAGTTATGTTAAGTTTGAATTACGAATACTGTGTACACGTGTAGATGTTCTGCTGCTTATACTGAAAGAGAAAAACGTTTATCAAGTATGTTCAGTTTGCAAGAGTAAGTGAGTGAGTTTAGTTTTACGCCGCACTTAGCAATATTCCAGCTATATAGCGGCGGTCTGTAAATAATCGCGCCTGGACCAGATGATCCAGTAATCAACAGCATGAGCATCGATCTGCGCAATTGGGAACCAATGACATGTGTCTACCAAGTCAGCGAGCCTTACCACCTGATCCCGTTAGTCGCCTCTTACGACAAGCATGGGTTACTGAAGGTTCATTCTAACCCGGACCTTCACGGGTCAGTTTGCAAGACAGTCGGGAAGAGTTGTAATATCGCGTCCAAAGCATGTGTTTAGTTGTATACTCAATTAAATCGATAAATGGTACTGGGTTTATCATGTGCATAGATACCATATTTAAAGTTAATTTGTCAGACATTTAGGTGATTTTCCGAGCCAGTTATGTATGTTATTTCATGCACAGTAGCACACACTATCCTTATATCTAAACATGTACCAAACTATATTGTCAACTGAAAGATTTCATAAATATTTATATCTAATACATCTTACTCTCAAACCCTTCTCATATTGTACATTACTTGTTTTACCATTTACAACCTCTCACTAAATGATTGGCACCCAATCATACATGCCAGTATTTATGAATTACCAAATTAATTGACTAAAGTAAAGAAGAATCTTTGATCTCCTTGTTTTAAATGCATTTAATTTAGTTGCATTTTGTATTTTACGAAGCAGATCCTGTAAGTAATTAAAAAGCTTACACAATGGATTGATAGCAATACTGTAGTACATTATAAGATGATTGCCTTATTGACATAGGATGCAGTTCACTAAACCTAATTATATAGATAACAAACATGTAAACCTGGAACGGCACCTTCAAACCCGAGTAGCGAAACAGTCAAATATTGATATTGACTGAAATGTTCTGTCAGAATATATACTGCCTAATAAGAGACATGGAGTAAAACATATATATGATAATGGAAAGTTTGACTACTTGTACTGTTGGTTTATTCATGTAACGTTGTTTGTCTGCGCATGTTTAAGACAATGTGAAATGATAATTGTTTGTGGCAAACAGCCTC